CAGAGGAAGTTTTAGCCTCCGGGGTAAAACGGGAAGGATTTAGAGCAACAAATTTAGAAAGCACAGAAGTTAGATACCAGGATTGCTCAGCTCATATTCAGTTCTTATTAATCCCTGAAGCAGGAACTAATTTACTGGGGAGGGATTTAACATTAAAGTTGGCCAAAGGTCTACAAGTCAGCCCAAGAGGATTCCTCACCTCATTAAACCTACTCACCACTGCAGATGAAAAATATATTACTGCTAATGTCTGGTCCAAAGGAAACTGAGGGAAACTCCAAGTCCCTCCGATCCACATCAAGCAAAAAAACCCGGTAGAAGTAGTAAGAAGGAAGAAATACCCTATTCCCCTAGAAGGTAGGATAGGGCTGAAAGCTATAATTGAAGACCTCATTAGGGATGGGCTTCTCGAGCCCTGTATGTCCCCCCTTTTTTTTTTTTGAGACGGAGTCTCGCTCTGTCGCCCAGGCTGGAGTGCAGTGGCCGGATCTCAGCTCACTGCAAGCTCCGCCTCCCGGGTTCACGCCATTCTCCTGCCTCAGCCTCCCGAGTAGCTGGGACTACAGGCACCCGCCACCTCGCCCGGCTAGTTTTTTGTATTTTTTTTAGTAGAGACAGGGTTTCACCATGTTAGCCAGGATGATCTCGATCTCCTGACCTCGTGATCTGCCCGTCTCGGCCTTCCAAAGTGCTGGGATTACAGGCTTGAGCCACCTCACCTGGCCTGTATGTCCCCTTATAACACCCCAATACTGCCAGTCAAGAAATCAGATGGGTCATACTGGCTAGTACAGGACCTTGGAGCTATCAACCAAATAGTCCAGACTATCCACCCTATTGTACCCAATACTTACACCATTCTTAGCAAGATTCCATACAATCATCAATGGTTTACTGTAATAGATTTGAAGGTTGCTTTCTGGGCATGTCCCCTGACTGAAGATAGCTGAGATATATTTGATATATTTGAGTAGGAGGATCCCCACTCAGGGCAGAAACAACAATATCAATGGACAGTCTTGCCCAAAGGGTTTACAGACTCCCCTAATCTTTTTGGTCAAATTTTAGAACAAGTACTAGAAAGAGTTGTCATCCCAGAACAAATATGCCTTCTTCAGTACGTGGACGACATTCTTATATCTGGTGAAGATATAGAGAAGGTAACTGACTTCTCTACACATATTCCTAAACATCTGCAGTTTGGGAGGCTACAGTCTCAAAAAGAAAGTTTCAGTATGTAGATCCCAAAGTTAAATATTTAGGCCACTTAATAAGTGCAGGCAAGTGAAGAATAGGGCCTGAATGAATCGAGGGAGTAGTGTCCCTACCCTTGCCTCAAACTAAACAAGAACTCAGGAAATGTTTAGGGTTAGTCGGATACTGCCACTTATGGATTGACTCATATGCACTACACAGTAAACTGTTATATCAACAACTTGCCCAGGAGAAGCCCAACCATCTCCTGTGAATTTCTGAGGAAGTTGATCAAGTAGAGAAGCTGAAGGAAAGGCTCATAAATGCCCCTGTTTTATCCTTACCCTCCCTAGAAAAGCCATTCCACCTTTTTGTTAATGTGGACAGTGGGGTAGCTTTAGGAGTGCTGACTCAAGAACACAGAGGCCGCTGGTAGCCTGTAGCCTATCAAAGGTCTTAGACCCAGTAACTTGTGGATGGCCCCAATGCATCCAGTCCATTGCGGCTACGGCAATACTAGTTGAGGAAAGCAGAAAGCTAAGCTTTGGAGGAAAATTGACAGTTTAAGCACGCCTCACCAGGTTAGAACTATCTTAAATCAGAGAGCAGGGAGATGGCTTACTGACTCAAGAATCTTAAAGTATGAGACCATTCTGTTAGAAAGGGATGATTGACCACTGATAATTCACTCAACCCAGCAGGTTTCCTAATAGGGAATCCAAATCTAAGGAGGGAACACATTTGTTTAGATTTAATTGATTACCATACAAAGGTTCAACCAGACCTAAGAGAACCCCCTTCTGGACTGGATGGCACTTATTCATAGATGGTTCCTCCCAGGTGATTGAGGGAAAAAGACAAAATACGTATTCACTGATTGATGGAGAAACTCTCGTACAAATAGAGTCAGGAAAATTGCCCAACAGTTGGATCTGCTCAAACATGTGAGCTGTTTGCACTCAGCCAAGCCTTAAAGTACTTACAGAACCAGGAAGGAATCATCCATACAGATTCCAGGTATGCCTTTGGAGTGGCCCATATGTTTGGGAAAATTTGGACTGAACGAGGTCTCATTAATAGTAAAGGTCAAGACCTTGTTCACAAAGAGCTGATTACCTAAGTATTGAATAATCTTCAGTTGCCAGAAGAAACAGCTATTGTCCATGTTCTGGACACCACAAAAGCCTTTCCTTTGGAAGTCGAGGAAATAACCTAGCAGATCAGGTAGCCAAGCAGGCTGCTGTATCTTCTGAAATGCGCATTTTTCACTTAACTCTCTGCCTCCCTCCTACCGTAATCCCCATTTTCTCTTCCACCAAAAAAGAAAAACGAATAAAAATAGGCGCTAAAGAGAATTCAGAAGGAAAATGGATACTGCCAGACCAGAGAGCAGTTCTCAGAGTTTATGATTGTATAGGAATTTATACCCTGGCCAAACAGGTTACAGATAGTTGCTTAGTATTCAAGAAAACTAATAAACATACTATAAAAAGATTACCTTTTGGGGGAAGGAATCCGGGCTTAAGGCCATTCCAAAGTATCCAAGTTGTTTACAGAGAAATGCCTCCATTAGATCGTCCAAAATATTTACTAGTGATAGTAGACCACCTCACTCACTGGGTTGAAGCTATCCCCTTTTCTAATACAGCAGCCAATAATGTAGTTAAGGCCCTAATTGAAAATATAGTACCCAGGTTTGGACTAATAGAAAAATTGACTCAGACAATGGAACTCATTTCACCACGCACATTATTAAAAAGCTATCCCAAACATTAGACATTAGATGGGAACACCATACTCTCCTCATCAGGGAGAGTAGAAGGGATGAATCAGACTCTTCTACTGATTCACTCAACCCAGTTGGTTAAGTGGTCTTAGACTTAACCAAATTAGCCTTCCAGACTTGATTGTCATGGACCAAGTGTCTTCCTATTGCCCTGCTGACAATTCAAACTGCACCACGGAAAGATACTGCTCTTTCTTCTTATGAGATGCTCTACGGATTAGCTTATTTGCACTCCACTACTGATATTCCTACCTTTGAAACAAAAGATCAATTCCTTAAAAATTATATACTTGGTCTACTTCTATTTTCTCTTATCTTAAAGCCTGGGGAGGATGTCCTCATTAAGAGCTGGAAAAAGTAGAAGCTTGAGCCAGCCTGGGAAGGTCCTTACTTAGTGCTCATAACTACTGAAACCACCATCCGCACAGCAGAGAGGGTGGACTCACCATACCCGAGTCAAGAAAGCGCCGCCGCCTCCAGAGTTGTGGGCCATAGTCCCAGGGGAAAACCCTACCAAACTAAAGCTAAGAAAAATGTAACTCTTTTTCTTCTTTTCTAATACTCTTTCTTCTTTCCTCGCTCTATTGCTGACCATCTAGTTATTAACATAACCAAGTCGATTTTGCCTTGAACTATTGCATTTGGTGCTTGCATTTTGCTGCTTGCCAAGTCCCTGTGGGGACTTGTTAAGTCAAAGACAGCCCTCTACTTTAAAAGAGTACCTCTGTGCCTCCTGGCTCTCCTCAGACTGGGCACTAGTGAATTGGGACCATTTAATCTGGGGTGATTTCGATAAAGACCCTAGTGGCAACCAGGAGTCTTGCCCCCTTGATGTACAGCTTTTGTGCCATAATTGGTCCAACATTCTGTGGACCACCAAAGAGCAAGGATGGACTGCCCCAACCAGTTTTTATAGTTCCCTAAAACCATACATTCATTTTACTAAAGGGACAGCCCCCCCAACTGTCAACTAAACCAGTGCAATCCTATACAGGTTATTATCTTGAGCCCCCAAAGTTCTTCCCCTTTTCTAAACCGGTTTTCTTCTTTAAGCCAGTTTTATGGTATGGAGGCCGAGGTTTCAGGGACGGACCCTATTGAATTCGTTGAAATGCATTTCTTTGATCCCCCACCACCTGCACCTTCCTGTAAGCCTTTTTACAAAACCTGTCACAACGGAACCATTGCTCCTCCTCCATCTAACGACAAGGCCAAGATAGCGATGGTAGAAGTTAAAGACTTAAAACAAACTTTGGCAGTTGAGACAGTATACCAAGATGTATATGCCTGGTTGGAATGGATCAAATATTCCATCTGCACGTTAAACAAAAGCAATTGTTATGCTTGTACGCATGGCAGGCCAGAGGCCCAGATTGTTCCCTTTCCACTAGGTTTGTCCTCCAGTCGACCAGGCATGGGTTGCATGGTAGTTTTTTTCCAGGATTCTACAGCCTGGGGTAACAAGTCGTGCCGAGCTCTCTCTCTGCTATATCCCAAAGTCTGACACCCTGCAGGTCAGCCCCTGAGGGCCATCCAGCTTCCGTTTCCCAACACTAAGTTCACTTCATGTCTCTCATGACAGAGAGGAAACTTAGCAATCCTTGGAGACCTAAAGGGACGCAGTGAGCTTAAGAATTTTCTTTCTTTCTTTTTCCTTTCATTTTCTTTTCTTTTCTTTTCTCTTCCTTCCTTCGTTTTTCTTTCTTTCATCTTTCTTTCTTTCTTGATACCTGCTTGATTTATTCCAATTATTTAATAGTCAGTGATGCAACTGTGATCCCAAAGTGTGCAAAGTTAAAGCCTTCAACTGCAGCTGAAGAGAGGGCAGGAACAGTATACCTGGGGATGGTGGTGAGTCAGGAATGACAGGCAGGTGGTCATGACCAGGGCAGCCTCCTCCCCAGGGACAAGGACAGGGAAGTGGCCTGAGGAGCAGGACCTGAGGGTAGCCCAGGGCCAGGGAAGGGGGCAGAGACTTCCCCTTGGCCTAGGTCAGGAGCTCAGAAGTGCCACATGAGGGGGCAGCGGCCCAGGAAGGGCCAGAGGCAGGGCCAGGAGAGCACCATTTCCTGGGGGGCTGGGGGCAGGGAGGTGCCCTACAGGAGAAGCCAGGAGGGGCTGCCTGCCCCTGGGTGGGGGCCAGGCTGAAGCAGGCTGCAGCAAGAAAGACCTGAGGCAGGCGCAGGGCCTAAGAGCCCAGCTGACTGGGCTTGGTGGGTCTCCCAGGGCAGCCTTGACCAGAGAGCAGTCCTGACTCTGCAGGGGATGCCCAGCGAGGGGCCACAGACCCTTCTGGACCTCCCCTCCTCTCTCCCTGGAAAGGAGCTGGGGAGCCCAGAGTGCAAACCTGTGGACCACTCAGTTATGGAGGGAGGCTGTGCCCGAAGGTGGACATTGGGGTACGCCCCCTCCACCACCTCGGCCTCCACCGCTGTCCTCAGTACAGCCACTTCTCGTAAAAGCACAGGCCTTGCACGCCACCCTCAATCTGGGCCAACATGGTCCACTTCTCAAACTTAAGCTCTCCTGAGTACATCATGGACCAAAGGACAGACAGCTGCGGGTCCCAGTATCCTGGCAGCCATGCTGGATGCCCGCTATGAGGTAGGGCACGAACTTCTGCATGGACCCTTTGTCCCGGATGGAGCTGGAGATACCCTGCGCAATCTTCACCTTATCCCCCTCGATGAAGTATTGTTTCTGGCTGCTGCTGCTCTTCTCCATGGCATCCAGCGAGTCCATGCCCTGGTACTTCTTGAGCCACACCCCATCTGAGAAGAAGTATTCACTGGGGACCTCTGTGGTGGCAGCCAGCAGAGCCCATCATCACTGTGGAGGCTTCATGGGCCAGGGCCTTGACCATGTGCCCCACGGTCTGGATGCTGCCATCGGCTATTATAGGCACACCAAAGCGCCAGTCATACTCGGCCTACTTGTACACAGCAGTGCCCTGGGGTTGACTGCAGGCCATCACACCCTGGGTGACGCAGATGGAGCTGCAGCCCATGCCCATGCCAAGCCCTTCCATACCAGCGTCAATCAGATTCTTGGCCTGGGCTGCTGTCACCATGTTTACCCCAGTCACCTGGAGGTGGGGGTACTTCTGTTTGATGTAATGCACCATGGTGATCTGATACACTGAGCTCCCTTGGGAAAAGTCCAAGACTGTGACGTTGACACTCACCTGGGTGAGCAGGTCCAGGCGGTATTTGTCATCCTCACGGGTGCCCACAGCTGCCCCGCATCGCAGCTGCTCACGGGATTCCTTGGAGGCCGCAGGGTAGTCTCGGTTCTTCTTCAGGTTTTTGCAGGCGATGATGGCCACCAGCTCATCGCGATCACTGACGACAGGCAGCTTCCCTTTCTTGCTACACTGCAGGATCTCATTTGCCTCTTTCAACATTACACCTGCTGGAGCCACCACCAGCTCAGTCCTTGGTGTCATCTCCTCACTGAGGAGGGTGGTGTGGTCCTTCTCTGCAAGAACGTCGATGTCTCGGAAGGTGACGATGCCCACCAGCTTGCTGCCCATGGTGCCTGTCTCAGTGATGGGGATGCCAGAGAAGCCATGCCACACCTTGGCCTCCAACACATCACCCACAGTGTGCGAGGGGCTCAGCGCCACGGGGTCCATGATGAAGCCCTGTTCAAACCTTTTGACCTTCCGCACCTCCTTGGCCTGGAACTCCAGGGTGCAGTTGTGGTGAATGAAACCGATACCTCCCATCAGAGCCATTGCGATGGCCATGTCAGCCTCTGTCACAGTGTCCACGGGGGAGGAGATGAGTGGCATCTTCAGCGTGATCTTCCAGGTCAGGGCTGAGCTCAGGTCCGCCTTATCAGTTATGAAGTCTATGAATCCTGGGAGAATCAGGAAGTCGTTGCAGGTGAGGCTGTGGGCGCTGGCGAAGGGCTGCTGCGCGGTGAGCCGGTCCTCCGGCATGTAGCGGGTGCCGCGGCTGATCAGGTAGTCCGCCATGCCGCCCAGAGACCCAGCCACCTGACACAAACACCTGCATGGCTGCCAGCCGCTGCTGCTGCTGCTGAGGCCGCACCGTGGCCACGCTGTTGCCGCAGGACGGGCAGGCTCAAGCTTAAGAATTTTTTTTTTTTTTTTTTGAGACAGAGTCTCACACTGTCACCCAGGCTGGAGTGCAGTGGCACGATCTGGGCTCACTGTAAGCTCCGCCTCCCGGGTTTACGCCATTCTCCTGCCTCAGCCTCCCGAGTAGCTGGGACTACAGGAGCCGGCCACCACACCCGGCTTTTTTTTTTTTTTTTTGTAATTTTAGTAGAGAGGGGGTTTCACCGTGTCAGCCAGGATGGTCTCGATCTCCTGACCTCGTGATCCGCCCGCCTCAGCCTCCCAAAGTGCTGGGATTACAGGCGTGAGCCACCGCACACAGCCAAGAGTTTTCAAGAGCTTATCAATCAGTCAGCCCTTGTTAATCCCCGAGAGGATGTGTGATGGTATTGTCGTGGACCTTTACAGGACACTGCCGAATAACTGGAGTGGCACTTGTGCTTTAGTCCAGTTGGCTATCCCTTTCACCCTGGCATTTCATCATCCAGAGGAAGGAAAAATAAGACATCATAAAGCAAGAGAAACCCCTTATGGGTCTTTCGACTCACATGTCTATTTAGACACAATTGGAGTCCCACGGGGAATAGGAGATCAATTTAAAGTCCAAAATCAAATAGCTGCAGGATTTGAGTCAATATTTTGGTGGGTGACAGTTAATAAAAATGTAGATTGGATAAACTACATTATTACAACCAACAGCGATTTATTAACTACACTAGAGATGCTGTTAAAGGAATAGTTGAGCAATTAGAGGCTACTAGCCAGACGGCTTGGGAAAATAGGATAGCCTTAGACATGATATGAGCAGAAAGAGGAAGAGTTTGCGCCATGATTAAAACTCAACGTTGCACCTTCATCCCAAACAACACGGCCCCTAATGGAAGTAAAACAAAGGCATTGCAAGGTCTGACTGCTCTATCCAATGAGTTAGCCAGCGACTCAGGGGTAAATGACCACTTTACAGGATGGCTAGAAAAGTGGTTCGGTAAATGGAAAGGAATAATAGCCTCCATTCTTACCTCCCTCATAGCCATAATAGGTGTACTTATTCTTGTCGGGTGCTGTGTCATATCATGCATCCGTGGGTTGGTGCATAGGCTCATAGAAACAGCACTTACTAAGACCTCCCTTAACTATTCTCCACCTTAACCAGGGAAGCTCCTTCTTTTGGAAAACCAAGCAGAGCAACTAAGCAAAGACATGTTAAAGGAGTTTGAAGAGAAAGCTGTAAGTAAAAATGCAAGAGGAGGAAGTTGTTAAATACGAGTTATACATTTCTCTTCGAAGAATTAATATGTCAGTGTGTTCAATTCTCTGCCTTCTACTTTTAAACTTTACTTCCACATAAAGCAATCTTTTCCATTTACCTACTCCACCCTAACTCATTCCAATTACCTACTCCACCCTGATTCATTGTCCACCCTGACTCATTCCGATTTCCTACTCCACCCTGACTCATTCCGATTACCTGCTCTGTCATAACCATTTTTCCTGCCAAATCACTCACCCCATCACTCTCTTTAAATTAGCCAATCAGAATTAGTTTAGCCTGTGCCGTCTAACCCCAGTCAATAGGGGAAGGACACAACTGTAGGGGCCACGTGCGTCAGGGATAACAACCCCTTCCCATCCCTTGTCCAAGTGTGCACTCACCATTGCTCCATCTTTAAGGGCACACCCTTCTATAGAAGTAACTTGCTTTGCTGAGAATTAAAAAGGAAATTTTATATTCGAGTGCTATTTCTTTTGCAGCACCGAAACTTTATTTATAACACAGTGTTGGTTTTTGTTTTGTTGTTGTTGTTGTTTTGAGGTGGAGTCTCGCTCTGTCACCTGGGCTGGAGTGCAGTGGCACGATGTTGGCTCACTGCAACCTCTGCCTCCCAAGTTCAAGCAATTCTATGCCTCAGGCTCCCAAGTAGATGGGATTACAGGTGCCTACCATCACACCTGGCTCATTTTTGTATTTTTAGTAGAGACAGGGTTTCACCATCTTGGTCAGGCTGGTCTTGAACTCCTGACCTCATGATCTACCCACCTTGACCTCCCATAGTGCTGGGTTTACAGGCATGAGCCACTGTGCCCAGCCAAGTGTTGGTCTTTCTGGTTATCAGATTCCACTTTGCAAGAGTCACATCACCACAAATCTTCTATGGTTAAGAGGTGCTTATTATGAATAACAAAAGGCACTGCCCATCCCCATTCCCCATCCCTGAGGAAATTCCAAGAGTTTTAGAAGTTTTTGTGTCTGCAACCAGGGTCAAAGACCAAATATTAGAACAAAAGGTACTCCTAGCACCCTTATCACTCAGGAAATTACAAGAACTTTAGGGGTTCTGTGTTAGAAACTGGGACAAAGATCAAATATATTTAGTTTATCACAAGCCCTAGTCCAGTAGAACTGGTATCCTCATAAGAAGAGAAAGGGAGCTATGGTCTGTCTTTCACAGGCACACACCAAATAAATAAATAAATAAATAAATAAATAAATAAATAAATAATAAGGCTGTGTAAGAGCCTAGGGAGAAGACAGCTGTCTGCAAGCCAGGAACAGTGTCTTCCCCAGGAATGGAATTGGCTAGAACCTGGGACTTCCCAGCCTTCAAAACAGTGAGAAATTTCGGTTGTTTAAGCCACCCAGTCTATGGTATTTTGTTATAGCACCTCAAATAGATAAAGGCGCCCAGTAATACATATGGACATCTATAGATTTATAAAATCTATTTGAATGCTTGTTTATTATTCTATGATAACATTCTTGGTTGGAGAGGAGCTGCATTAAGAGACATTTGACTGGTGCAGTGGCTCATGCCTCCAATCCCACACTTTGGGAGGCCAAGGCAAGTGGATCACCTGAGGCCAGGAGTTTGAGACCAGCCTGGCCAACATGGCGAAACATTTTCTTTACTAAAACTACAAAAATTAGCCAAGTGTGGTGGCACACACCTGTAGTCCCAGCTATTTTGGAGACTGAGGCATGAGAATCACTTGAACCCAGGAGCTGGAAGTTGAAATGAGCTGAGATTGCACCACTGTACTCCAACATGGGCCACAGAGTGAGACTCTCTCTCAAAAAAAAAAAAAAAAGAAGAAGAAGAAGAGACATTTAAGCCTCTATTAGTTTAGTTATGAGTTAGGCTGATATGACAATTTCAGTGGCTTAAATAATATCAAGTTTATTTCTCTGTCATACAACATAGACCTGGGTGGGGCCACAGTTCCACTTCTCCATCATTCAAGTCAACCAGAACACCTCGCATACCCAGAGATTATACAAATATTCATCTTTAAGATTTTCTAATGTACATATTTTAATAGGTAACACATTCTTATGGTTTAAAGATTAAACTACAACAAGAAAGCTAGACAGTGAAAAATCTTGCTACTTCCCCTAGTCCCATCTATCTCATTAACTTCATGACCCTCTTTTTCTCCTGGAAAATCTACTGTAAACTCATTAAAGAATGGGAAGAAAATACAGATAACATCAGTATTATTTAAAAAATAGTATTGACCTCACAGACCCCCTGCAATCGCATTAGGGACCGTTAGGGTTTCTTATACCACATTTTGAGAACCACTGACCCAGCCCAAGACTAGTAGGCAGAAAACTTTTTCAAAAAGCTAGTTGAGTGCCAGACAGACAGGGTGACAGGTACCTGTTTGTTGATGTGGGAGGATCCCTTGAGCCCAGTAGTCCTTGACCAGTCTAGGCAACATAGCAAAACCTGCATCTTTAAGAAAAAACATTTTTTACCCTGCAAAGCTAAGACTTCCAGAAAATAAAAAGAAAAAAAAAAGGAAAAACATTTTTTAATTAAAAAAAGCCAATTGAACAGTTTGATTTCTTAAATAACCACATATTTATTTAGAGATTTACAATTTTTATAATACTTTCAATGTGATTGTTTCACAGTATTATTTATTTTTAAATTTAGCCACTATGGAAGCGTGGAATAAAGCATAATGGCTCCCAGGCGGGTGCAGTGGCTCATGCCTGTACTCCCAGCACTTTGGGAGGCCGAGATGGGTGGATCTTCCGAAATTAGGGGTTCGAGACCAGCCTAGCTAACATGGTGAAACCCATTTCTACTAAAATTACAAAACATTAGCCGGGCATGGTGGCGCGTGCCTGCAATCCCAGCTACTCAAGAGTCTGAAGCAGAATGGCTTAAACAAGGGAGGCGGAGGCTACAGTGAGCCAAGATCATGCCATTGTACTCCAGCCTGGGCAACAAGAGCGAAACTCCTAAAAAAAAAAAATCTCTAAAAAAAAAAAAATAATAATAATAATAATAACGGCTCCCACAGCTGTACCCCGCTCTTACTCGCCGCCTCATGGTAACCATGGTAACAGTTGTTGTACATATTTCCAGGGCGTTTTTCTCTGCATATGTGTTAATATACACATGTGTACTTGGGGCTTGGGGTTTGTCTTCCCCAATCCAACACACACACACACACACACACAGATAGAATTGTGCTATATATATATTTTTTCTGTGACTTACCCCTTTTACTTTACAGTCTGAAGATCTCTTCATATTTTTACACATAAATATACCTTATTCTTTTGCACAATCATGTAATATAGTAACAACTCTGTGCTATGAATATTTTATTATTTCTGAAGGTGGGAAAGGGAAGGAAAACCGAATTCAATCTTACTTTCACACAGATGACCAGTGGTACCAACCACATTCATTAAATGGCTCATTTGTTTCTCTCTAATTTGAAATGCCACCTGTAGCTTTTATCAGATTTCCATATATGCATGGGTCTCCTTTTATTTATTGTTTTGTCTATTCTTAAATATACTTCTAATTTATGCATCTTTATTATATAGTATTTCAGTCTAAGAGGGTACATCTACTGTTTTATTTCTCTTCTCAGAT